GAAACTTTTATTAAATTTAAATGGAAAATAAATAAGGATTGTAAGGTATATAATTTCTTTCAATTTAATATTTTATATATATTTTTTGAAATATTATTTTAATCATAATTTAAGATAATTCGCTTAGTGCATCTTGGACGTCCTTGGCTCACAACACAACATCGTTATTATCGCAATGAGCGCTGTAAAGTACCGAATAATCTACAGGATAATGAGCATGAATGAACGAGAGCGTTTTCCTTTTTTATTTATTTTCTGTTTTTTATTTTTTTTTTTAATGGTATAAACCGAATATTTTCTGAAGTGAATAGTGAATAGCCGAAAGAGGAGGGACGCAAACTCTCCCGACAAGTGCTCTCGACTAAAGCAAGCCAAATCTCTCGAGAGCTCACTGAATGCTTGTTTAGAACAAAAAAAAAATAATAAAAAATATAATAATCAAGTGGTGGAATGCTGTAAACGACGAAACTTAAAAGACATAGAAGTGAAAAGAAGAAATAATTGTCCAAAGGTTGTTAGAAAGTTGCTTTGCAGTAATTAAAAGGAAATAGGAAAGAACTCTGGAGGGAAAGATATATTTTTAAAAAAGTATTTACTTTCTTTTTCCAACTATCACATACATTTATTTTCCTAAACTGCTATGCATATCCCTTCTCCCTCAACTTTCATTCAAGGACATGTCCTTTTTGCACACATCATTCAATCTTAACTTTATTTTCCTTAATTAAAGCTGACACTCATGCCTGCAAACAACATGATTTCACATGACTTACCTTCACTTCTGCCACTTAATGCCGAATGTTTTATGCCATTGAAAAAGGGCACTGGCAAGTTGGAAAGCCCATTTCCCACATCTTTACCCCTTTTGCTTGTGCATTTAATTTTATATTTCTCATATTTACATGGAATATTTATGGAGCTGAACGCAGAGACACTGAACGAGGAAAAGTGCCAACTTTTTGCCATTTTGTCAACGTTTTTCATGATTTTTCCATATTTATTTTACTCTTTTTTTTTTTGTATTTACATTTTTGTATGAGTTAAAAACCAGAACGAGTAGTTCATTAGTTTTCAACTGCTGTTCTGGTTGAAGCTATTTCTATTTTGCAGCTGCATGTGGCCAGAAGCATCAAAGCATCGTTCCGGGCCATCAGCCAGGAGTCCTATTCCTTTCAGGACCTGTTCTCCTCCTTTGCGTTTTTCCATTTACCAGGCACCTTCTGCTTTTCTCATGGCACAGTAATGTGAACAGACTGCGGCTGCTGCTACTGGCTTTTGTAATGAAAAGTTGTGGCAACTTGTTGTACGTCATGATTTGAACCCATTTTCCATTTTCCCATTTCCCATTCCCCACCCGCATGCCCTTTGCACTTATTTAGTTTCGCCCTGAAAGTTACACATTCTGATACCGATATGGGATGAAAGTGTTTTAAAGTTGAAACATTGCTCAAATAAAACATTTCGAATTAATTAACAGAGTTGATGGTCAGCTATTCTAGGAAAATATATCTAAGAGATGTGAAATGTAATTAAGCTCAGTTTTGGGAAAAAGAAATCTTACTAAATGCATGCAGTTATCATATTAACTTACCTTCGAATATGAAATCATCACTGCCTTCAGATAATAAAATGGAAATGGAAGGGGAGAAAGATACCATATGCCTGACATCCTGAGTGTTTTTTCGTGTTTGTTAATCATTTTCGTGTATTTCTTTGGCTTACAGAAAAGGAAGGAAGTTTGATATCGTCCTAGATATGTTAAGTACTCTGCATCCGGCAAAAATCTGACTGACATACGCATTAAGTGTACAATATCAACAAATCAATAAGTAATGCGAATTTGACAATCTGTTCGACGAGGGCGCTGTGGGAGAATTTGTTCAATCTAGAAGCGATTACTGATGCCAGGACATGTCTTTAAGGAGGTCTATTACAAGTTGTTTCCTAACTCAAGTTATTTTCACAATTTCATATCTTTATAGTAAATACCAACTAGATTCTAGGAATGTGCAGTGGTCCTACCTCAAAAGTCAAAATGTGATTCAAATAGTTCCAAACTTTATATCAGTTAGTTAACAGGAAGAAAGTTCAATTTGTTGTGGCCCACAATTTATAAAGAAATTCAATATCGAATCATAAATTTGTAGCTACCGCATTGCATCATTGGGCAAATTGCTGAAGCAACAGCGGCCACTAAAATTGGGGAAACTACTCCATGCGACACACGTTGGCTGCCTTCTTCTTCAACAGTTGAGGACATCAATTTACTTTTATTTTCCTCCATGTTCATGGTTACGGTTTTGGGGTTTTACCAGAAAAGGGTTCCTTTTGCAAAAGAAAAATAAAACACAAAAATATTAGCTCAATGAAATGTCCCAAAAGGTGGAATATCCTGTATTTTAGGATGAACAAAAGATATTTTTTATGATAAATTAATGATTAAAGTTTGTAAATGGAATTAAAGCAATATTTTTTAAGCTTTTAACTAAAACAAAAAAGTGGTAATAAAGTATTTAATCTAACTTTTAGAAATGTTCTAAAATGTATTGACTTTTCTTGCTTTACATATCGCTTATATCCCCAACTTTCTCCTGGCTAGGTATCACAAAATAAGAAAACATTTTCCCCCTTTTCCCATTTCCCGCACATCGATAAACTCAAACCTTTGGTTGGCGATTCAATTCAATTGATTCAATTGGGATTGGGATTGTATCGGGCTTCGTTTTATGCTCGTTTTGGCCAACACATATTACGAGTTGAGTTTGAGCCACATCCCCATCCCGAGTGCCTCATTTATCTGTTGCCAAAATGGTTCATGTCTCCATTTTCACGTGTGTGTGTGTGTGTGTGTGGGCGGGACATTTTTCCGAAATGTAATGTTAGACAGTTGGAAACTTTTTTTATTTTTTTCAGCATTTTCCTTTTTTTTTTGTTGGGTGCTCCTTTACGAGCTGATAATGTTATTGGCGAAGGAATTTTATGAATTGACCATTTTCATTTGGTCGGGATATTTGATATTTTCCCTATGACTTGTGCAATTTGCATAAGAAATTGTGTCACGACTAGTTTCGTTACACTTCATTCCATTTCCTTTGTGCATATCTCAACTGGGCTTCGGTGGGTGGTGAACTGGGAAATGGGAAAGTGGAAAGTGGAGTGGAGTAGTACGCTTTGGATCGACTGGAATTTTTGGTCTTTTCCAGTTTGGCTTGGCCTTTTCTTGACGTTTCATCGTTTCCTTTCCTCGGGATTCCTTTGTCTGCAGGACAAAATATTTTGCGATTTTGTGGATGGTTCCCACAGTGGTTTGGGAATAAATGGCCGTGGCAGCAGGAGTGGAGAATGTTATGTGGGCGGAATTTGATATGTGTTTGATGAAAGCCGAGTGAAAAGCTCTTAGTCAGATCAGGTGGATTTGAAATTTGTTTCAAAGTTTTGGCATACTCACAATGCTTGAGAGAAAAACTTTATAATTTATGAAAAAAATAAACATTTTCATATAAGATATTAATAAAGGCTGTGAATTTTCTAAGTTTAAATAAAAACTCTATTAAAAAACGACGTCGTTAGCTAAAAACTATCACTAAAGAGAAAGAACCCATTGAATAACTCCACTTAAGAGCTTTCAGAAATAGTTATATTCTTTCTGGTTTACTATTTGCAAGTAAATAACAAACCAAGTCGAATGCAAGAACTTTTCTCGGTACTTAACTCTTGGAAACCACAGTGCCTCAGTGCAGACCTCATGTGTGGGTGGGCTTCTGTGAGTGACTGTCAGCATCGTCTGCACTTTGACACTCGCACAGAGTTGCATTCCTGCCATTGAGCTATTTTCCTCGAGTGCCAACCGAAAACTTTCGAGCCAAAAAAAAAAAACTTTCCTCCCGATGAGGAAAACTTCTGCGGACGGCGAAAACTTTTTTGTTCTACTCGTTGTTGCTGCCTCGGATTAATATTTTCTTTGCCTGCCTTCCGTTTTCCATGTTTTTCTTTTTTTTTTTCGTTTTTCGTTAGTAAATTCCTTGGCGTTTGGCTTGTTTTTGTCTTGTTGCTTATTTGTTGTTTTTTTCCTGGTACTTGAAATGCAATTTCTAAGAAAAATTCCTCTCAAGAGTATCAAAATACACAGCAGCATGCTTCTTTTCTATTCTTGCTTTTTGTTAGATTTTTATTTTCCAACTCAGCGAAGTCCATTGAACGACAGTTAAGATCTGGTTTCTTGTTTAATGTACTGTGTTTAGTTGGTAAAAAGCAATCAGAGTAGGAAAATGATTTTCAGTCTTACCAATTTTAAGGTAAAATATATTCTTGTCTCTTAAAAATGAACTTAAAATAAAATATTGCCTTAACCAATATGGGGCGGGAAAAGCCTTTTGCATACGTGTATGGGTATTGTTTCTGCAAGTTAACATACGCCTCTTCTGCTTTCAGATCCTTGCTTTCGTTTAAGGACACCAAGCCACACCCAAAGAAACGACATTTTAAATGGCGCACTAAATAACTGAAACACCCCCATACACCACATACACAAATTTGCATGCTTACAGCTTCTCTTCCGGTTACAAAAATTATAAAGACGATGCTGGCAAAAGGTTTAAACTAGTTGATGACCATTAGTCCACCAATAATATATAAAACAAGCAATGTTTTCTAGAAATATTCTTAAAAATTATATTATACTTACCCAAAAGGTTTATCTTAAATTTAATTAAGACTTACCTGACTTAACAGATTTCACCTTTTAGTAACCATCCTCTGTAAATAACGACTGTAGGGCATAAATGCAACTTACTGCTGAGAATACAATTTACGCTTTTCCAGGCATTTTTCATGTGGCTCGTTGCTGGCGTTGCTGAAACTTTTTATAGCCGCCACAGCGCCCAACAAATGTGCTTTTGTTTTTGGTTTTCCGGTTTTAACCACCCACATGTGTGAGCTGCCTGCATGAAATGTGCATTCGCTTGACAAAAGTTCTCTCAAATAATTAGGAGAAATGTTAATAAAAGTTTACTCAAGTTTGTAATTACATAAAAACCATAAGAAACCATGTAAAAACTGATATTGTATGAGATTGGAAATTGAACCTCTTCTGTGCAGCGTTTTCAGTATCATTCTTTCTAGTCATATCATTAATGAATTTTGAAATTTCTTCGAAATTTAAGTTGCCATCATATTCGGTAACGTCAACTCCATCTTCGACCCATACTAAAGTTGGCCCATAACTCGATTCATAGCCATTGCATATTATCCTTGCATGACGACAGTTCAATTTGGCAAAACAGATGTTTTGATTGGTCTTAAATGCTTGAGCCAACTCGGTCCAAATAAGTTCAAAATCCTCACAGTCACGGCAACGTGGCATATAGAGCTTTACGAAGAACACCCCAGTTTCAGTGGTTTCGTGATAGTTTTCTTTTGTGAGCTCAAATATCTTGCCTGGACTACAAGCGGAGAGGTCTCTGGGCTCCAAAATTATATCTGATGCCGTGGTTAGGTTTTCTGACTCTCTTAGTACGGATGTTTCTGTTCGAGTTTTCAAACCTAATAATAATATGAGTAAGTATTGAAAATGCAAGAATTTTGACATTTTTTTTATAATTTTAAACTTGAAAATTTTTTAGTGACTTTTTAGGGGTTTCTCCTTTTGATAAGATTTACTAAGACTCTTTTTCGGTTTATCTAACTTCCCACTTATATCTAAGTAAGTAAAATAACACCTTTAATTTGTATTTTCTTTTTTATTTCTATAAAAAATTGAAAGACTTTGTAAGATTAGTTCGGCATATGGAGTTTTAGAAACTTAAGGAGATTCGCTTACAATCTAATTTCACATGCTCAGAGTATGTTAGAATAGTACGGGTGAGTGTATCATATATATCAGATAGTGTTTCAGTAGAGTGAGTGTCTAGAATTTCTATAAATTCAGTCTTTAGATCCATTGACCGCCTTCGTTGAGTTTACGGGGATCGATGTTGAGACCAAGTTTCTCCAGTTTACGAACCTTTCGCATTTGCTTGGTCAAACGCCGCTTGAAGTTGATCTCCTCGTTGAGATTCATAATCTCCATGGTATCGTATTGTCGGATATTCTTGATAGTCTGCAGAATCAGATTGTCCGTCAGATGAAGTTTGATGGTGGACATCTTCATGAATGGAGCATCACGACGTCGCAACTCCTCCCGATAGGCAAATAGAGTGTAGTGCAGTGATGGCAGTGAAGGCAAAGGACGCTCCAGTTGTGGGAAAAGTAACTCGGCCATTATGTATCCTGAACTGAATTACTAGAAACTGAGTGCTGCGGAAAGATCTGTTCGCTTTGAGTGTCCAGAATGCAGTGCTGTCTGAGGTCAGAGGTTTCTGATTTTTATACCATCGTTTATCTTAGCTACCTGCTCATGTTTACAAGAAAATCTTACTCTGATACTCTGCCACCGGCATATTTTCTGGGGAAATCCCAGAAGGCAGCTGGCGCTAGAAAATTGAGCTACCTGCCGAGACAGCTGCAAGTGACATATTTTTTTGAGCACGCGATTAGTCTGGATTTTCCTCATCTCGCAAAAATAATTTATGCAGCTCACGTACAGTCTGACTTCGATAGTTGTGTCAAATGAAAAACAAGAGTTTTCTAGATTTTTAATATTGGTAGGTAGAGAGATTTTTGTGCTTATTTATTAAGAACAATTCGAAAATATTTATGAATTTGATTTCCAAAAATGTTATTACTTAAATTGATTTTTTTATATGAAAAAACTTTATAAAAAATACTCAAGGTAATATACACAGTGAAAATGAATTGTTAAGTAAGTTTAAAAAGTGTAATAAAGAATTTTAAATGCAAAACTGATTTTATATTAATTTTTTGGCCTTTTGAAAGTTTAAACCATGATTTCAGCAAGTAGTAGAGATGCCATTACACTTTCATATTTAGCACTAATAATACTCTTCTGGTATATAGAACTAATAATATTTACGTCTAAATAAACTCATTTGTGGATGGGTATTAGGAATTCAATAGAATTTTGTTTGTCACCTCTGAAATTTTAACTAGTCGGCGACCTAGAAAACCAAAAGCCAGACAGGCGGCAAAAGAAATGGAAGGAAAAAATGTATTTTTTCAGCATTCATTGAGTTCGTTTTTGACGTAATTTTACGGTCATTTGAAATTGTTTTCCTTTACGTTCGTTTGAGCCAGGTCCTGCCGACTGCCGCCATCGCAATTAAAATAAATTGCATTCATTCAAAGGATTGACGACAACCGAATCCTGCAAAGCCATGCGAGGACCAAGGAACGGTCAAAGGTTTAAACCTCGAAAAATATTATATAGAATTTCGCTGGCATTCTGTTAATTAGTTTAACTTAACCGGAAACGGAAAAGGGACAACAAATATTTAAATTGAAAAGAAAATTTTAATGATTAACTTAAACGAAAGATATTTCAAGGATTTGGTGAAATATAAAAAGTTTATTTCAACCCTTTAAATGTGTTTAAAATTAGCTTTTATAATTTTCATTTTTCATTAAATGAAATAGATAAAATCCCTTTATTTAATTTAATTTATTTGGCCAATGAAAAGTTATATTTATGTATTAAATTCCATTTGTCAACAGAATTATGAACATTATTTATGTTCTTATTATTTGGCTCGATTTTACGCGCGAATATGTTGTAAATTAGTCGAACAAATGTCGCCTTTTAATTAGGCAAAATATTTCAATTATGCCAGTGTTGAGGGCAGAGCCGCAGTCTGAATTGCAAATCCTGTCACCGGAGAGCAAACTAATTAAAATCGAGAATATTATTTATAATTTATATATTTCGGGGTTTGCCATAGCATATTCTGTGGTTTGGTTTGCTTATGTCATAATTTAGACAGCCTCCAAATGACCAAAAACTAATGAGCTCTGCCTATGCAGGCAACTATGTATGGAAATTGCAAAATTGCAATAAAAATATTTTACAAAACTAAAATTACTATTAATTACAGAGATGACAATTTTGTTTTCAGACTAAGCAGGACTATCTGGCGTAAATGGCATATCAGGTTTTGTGATTAACTAAATTTTGAAGTTCAACAAGATTTTACTGTAATTTATCTTTAAGGGTTGATATAAAGACATCTTAGATCATTATTATATATGTCAAAAAAGTCTTGCGGTATTTTCGCTAGTTGGCGCTGAAAGCGCCTAGTTCTTGTTTTATTCGTCGCATCAGGTCATACTATACCTTTTTGGAAAGCTCATTCCACGCGCTAACACGTGTTTGATTGATTGTCTTTTCGTTTCGTGAGTTTTTCTCGTTCGTGAGTTATAGCGTCGCAATCATGGAGCAAAATAAAGAGAAAATACGGCATATTTTACAGTACTACTACGATAAAGGCAAAAATGCATCTCAAGTTGCCAATAAAATTTGTGCAGGTTATGGACCCGATACAGTTTCCATTTCCACCGCACAACGATGGAATCAACGTTTTCGTTCTGGTGTAGAGGTGGTCCATGATGCGCCACGCTCCGAGTTTTTTGCCAATAGGGAAAAGGCGAGCTTCTATGAGAGGGGCATTATGAAGTTGGATATCGTTGGGAACGCGTCATCGAACAAAACGGCGCATATTTGAGTTGAATCGCATTATTGTAACCAATAATATAATCAAAATAACAGATTTTTCTGTTTCCACTGCTATGTATGATTAGTAGTGGTTCTATTCAAACTATTCTCTAAATAAAACTGTTTCTCAAGTCAATAATTTAACAAGTAAAGAAAAGTTTACAAGGTGAAAAGGTTCAAAATTATGAATTTAAAGTGTTCAAAGTGATGTTTTGGATAGATTTGACAAAAATATACCCTCTACTAGGTAAAAATCGAAATTAATAGTTTAACTTATTAAAAAATGAGGCTTTTCCCTTTGCTAGGATCTCGAAACCACAAAAAAAATTTTTAATTATGTTTATTTGTATTCCATTTCCTTAATTTCATAGAGGTTGCCTCATTGTTCAGCAAATATATTTGAGTATACCCAAGTTTACCCATTTATGCCATGTATATTACGAGTTTTGCAAATAGAAAACCGCCAAGTCATGTGGGACAAATAGATAGAACTCTGCTCTATAAAAGCCCTGTCTAACAGAGAAATTTAATAATCGAAAAGTAACATCCGCTGCAATGCTATCTAAACTATTTCCCTGGATCAAGGAAAAGCCATTGAGCGAACCTTGTCAATCGCGAGATGCATTTACATATTTAGATCGGGTAATGTGGACCTTTGGCTGGACAGAGCCAGAAAATAAAAGGTAAAGTTTCCTGTTTGAATACACCTATTAATATAAATCTTATTTCTTTAAAAGATGGACCTGGTTATACAACTTATGGGCTCTTTTCACGTCCTTATTAATATTTATCTTTCTGCCGATCTCAATGGGTTACGAGTACATCAAGCGTTTCAAAAGCTTCTCAGCTGGCGAATTTCTCAGTTCCCTAGAGATTGGAGTTAACATATATGGCAATTCCTTCAAGTGTGGTTTCACCTTGATTGCCTTTAGAAAAAGGGAGAAGGCAAAAAATATTTTGGATAAGCTGGACGAAAGATGTCTAATGGATGAGGAGAAGTCGACTGTTCATCGATACGTGGCAATGGGTAATTTTTGCTACATGGTTTACCATATTTGCTACTGGTTCTTCGTATTCGTGAACTGTTTTGGTTATCTTGGTTAAGGGTCGTCATGCCTGGCGCATGTTTGTACCTCTGATCAATTCTGAACAGCATTTCGTGGTGTCCAATTTCGCGGAATTTACCATGATGCTCTTGGCGGTGACTATGGATCAATGTACGGATACCGTTCCTTTGGTCAGCATGCTAATGGCTCGATGTCACATGTCACTGTTGAAAGAACGACTTAAAAATCTCCGATCGGATCCAGGAAAAAAGCAACGATGAGGACTTACAGGAGCTGACCCAATGTATTCGGGATCATCGGATGATATTGGAGTAAGGTGGTGTCCAATATTTAAATAGAATTCATTCTAATCTCTTGGTCTAAGCTATGTAAACCTGCTGCGGGATGTCTTGTCCGGAACTATTTTTGCGCAATTCCTTTTGATTGGAGTGGTTTTGGGCCTTTCGCTGATCAACTTAATGTTCTTCTCAACACTTTGGACTGGCTTTGGCACTTGCGTTTTTATGTTTGACGTTTGCATGGAGACGTTTCCCTTTTGCTATCTCTGCAATATGATCATCGATGATTGCCAGGAACTAGCCAACTGTCTATTTCATTCGAATTGGACGTCCGCCGACCGACGATACAAGTCTACAATGGTCTACTTTCTTCATAATCTACAGCAGCCCATTATTCTTATGGCAGGAGGTGTGTTTCCTGTTTGCATGCAAACTAATTTATCAGTAAGTTGATTTATTAGTTTTTTTAGATATTTATTTTAATATGTTTTTTGTTATTAAAGATGGTGAAGCTGGCCTTTTCTGTGGTTACTGTCATAAAGCAATTCAACATAGCCGAGAAGTTCCAGTAGCTGAACATAGAAAAGTATATACAAAAGGATCATATAACCATCACTGATATTTAATAGAGGCACAATGGCATTCTTCTTAACTGAAAGAATCGTCTTAATAAAGTACTACATTGATTAAATTTTAAATTCCGTCGCTTCATCAGCATCGAGAAAAAACGTTCAAATATTCCGATTAATTAACAGAACGGACAAAAGATTCTAGGGCACAATGACGGTTTGTCTCCTGCGATGCATTTAATTTGCATATGTATGGAGGTCCTTTTGTGTACATGTGTGTGTGTGTATGTCTGTCTGGATGTCTGTCCTCAACGCCAATGAGTCAATATTATTACGGTCGACGCTTCACGCTCTCCGTGAAATTGGCAAAAGGGGAAACGGCCGCAAAACGCTGGCAAAAATGCTTTCAATTAATTAAACACCCGAAAAGCAAGGCTATAATGAGAATGCAATGTGCTGTGCAAAGAGCTCTATAGAGAGAGAGAGAGAGAGAGGGAGATGTTTGGGGAAATGGGGAATGCATAGTTGGTCAATCGACCAACTCAATCAGCAATGACGCCAATACCCAGGACACTCAGTACACTTAAAACTATTTTTATTATACTCAAATGTATCCGTTGAAAAGTTAAGTCGATAATGGTATAAAGAAGCAACGCTATATTTTCCTAATCAGGTTTCCTAGCTTAGTCCATTTAGTCATGTTCTTGAACTTAAAATATTTAGAAGTGCCTATAAGTATGCTGTAAAAAAGTTGTAATATATTTTATACGACTCAAAACCTAATATTGTTGGTTGAAATGACCCCCCTTAATATTCCTCTTTTATTGTAAAAATATCAAAAAATATTTTTTGAATGCCATAAAATTGCGCAGTGCAGTCTGCGGCTTGCAGCTCATTAATAATACAGATAATGCGTTTGGCGGCAATCATTTTTCGGTTGCATGCCATCGCGGTGGCGCTGATTAACACCGCGAATGGTCAACGCAATGACAGTCGAAAGGCAATGATAGTGGGTGGTAAAAGTGGGCGTTTTGTTTCAACCTCTGACAATGAAATGCGCGCATTAATGTCGTTTTTGGTTATGTTTCACTTGGTTAATGGTATGTTAAGGTCTTGCTCCCTGAACGGGTTTCCGCGAAAGCTGCATTTCATAATTGCATTCATGTGAAAAGTAAATTGCGGTTATAAAGTTGACTTCTCTATGATGGGAAATTGTCCTACAGGAAAATCTTGATTGTTATAAGTAATTTATAAATGGAATAAAAATGGCAAAGGACAAGACAAACTTTTACCAATAACCCCTCAAAATGCATAGCAAATTGAATGGTATTTACCGGCTTAGGAAACCGGCAAGTCACTTAAAGTAACCACAACAGACTTTTTTTTTACTATAAAAGGCGATTTTATCAGACATTCTTAGCACTCGAAACAAAAGCAAAGAAAGATGTTAAGCAAAATATTTCCTGAAATTAAGGAAAAGTCTTTAAGCGAGCGGGTTGAATCTCGCGATGCTTTTTTCTATGTGGATTGGTTTATGTGGTCCTTCGGCTGGACAGAGCCCGAAAACAAAAGGTAAAAATACATATACATAAAAGTAATTACTATTATTTACAATATTCTTTTAAGATGGAACCTTGTATACAATATATGGTCTTATTTTATGATTGTATTTATGCTTATAATACTACCAATATTAATGTCCATCGAGTACGTTAAGAGTTTCCACAGCTTTTCTGCTGGCGAGTTTCTCAGTTCCTTAGGGATTGCGATTAACATGTATGGAAGCTCCTTCAAGAGCGCTTTCACATTGACTGGGTTCAAGAAAAGACAAGAGGCCAAAAATTGTTAAAGAAGCTGGACAAGAGGTGCATTCGGGATGAGGAAAAGTTAACTGTTCGTCGTTACGTGGCTTTGGGAAACTTGGTCTTTGTTTCGTATTTCATTCTCTACAGCAGCTTTGTGATCATTAACTTTCCCTCTTATTTACTGAAAGGACGTCATGCCTGGCGAATGTATTTTCCCTTCATCGATTCCGATGAGAAATTTCTAATTTCTAGCTTCGCAGAAGGTATACTGATGACCGAGTGCATCTATATGGATCAATGCGCGGATGTCTGTCCCATTGTATGTATGCTGTTGGCGCGATGTCATATAAACCTTCTTAAGGAGCGATTGAGAAATCTCCGATCCGAGCAAGGAAAAAGTGCTGATGAGTACATGGAGGAGTTGACTGCCTGCATCCAGGATCATCACTTGATATTGGAGTGAGCTTGTAAGTAAATCTTGATATTATCATAGTTTATTATGATCTTTCCCAGCTATGTCAACGAAGTGCGGTCCGCAGTATCGGGAACCATTTTTGTGCAGTTACTATTGATCGGTATTGTTTTGGGCCTCTCGTTGATCAACTTAATGTTCTTTACAACTTTTTGGACGGGAGCTGGCACTTGCCTTTTTATGTTGAGCGTGTCTATGGAGACGTTTCCCTTTTGCTATCTATGCAATATGATCATCGATGATTGCCAGGAACTAGCCAACTGTCTATTTCATTCGAATTGGACATCAGCCGATCGTCGATATAAGTCTGCGATGGTCTACTTTCTTCACAACCTACAGCAGCCCATTATCATTACGGCAGGAGGTGTGTTTCCTATTTGCATGCAAACTAATTTATCAGTAAGTTGATTTATTAGTTTTTTAGATATTTATTTTAATATGTTTTTGGTTTTTAAAGATGGTGAAGCTGGCCTTTTCTGTGGTTACGGTTATAAAGCAGTTTAACTTGGCAGAAAAGTTTCAATAATATGAAAAGACCGGGACTTAATGATTTTTACACTTATATTCAAAATGAAACTTGTTAGTTGAATTTGTAAATGCACTCACTAAGTAGTAAGTAGGAACTTTGTATGACTCACTTCTCAATAAATAAAGAATTTTTGGAAAAATATGTGCTAGAAATGATGGACTTGCGTATGAGAACTGTCTTTACCACTTTTAGGGATTAACTATAATGGAAGTTGTAGACTGTTAATTAAAGGCTTTATTTTATTATTAAGTTGCAATACAACAATAAAAGTGTTAAGCAAGAGGTTCAAAAATTAAACCTCTTTCACGTCCCGCATTAATTTACTGCGTTCCGTAAGCTCGACAATAAAGCGCGACTTAAAGTTGGGTCAGTAAATCTACAGCAGTTGTCTCCCTCGTACAGGAAGGCGCCCGGGGCGTGCTGTCCCTTTCCCGCCGCTGTCCACTTAATAAAGTGCAAACAGGCAAGTGATTATTTCACAGCTATTGTTCGAAAAGGATGCGGGCTGGGCGTGGCTTGGTGGGGTAGGGGGCAACAAAGGGATTTGCGTTATAACCCAAAGAAGCGAGGCAGAACGCCCGAAACATATAAAAGCAGCAGAAAAAAAAGAATATAATAACAAGGATGAAGAGCGCGAAAAAAACTGGTAAAGCGCGAATAAAAAATGTAACTAAGAAATTGTATACAATGGTGTGAGAGAAGAAGATAGGATAAGGACTACAGAGTGAGACAGGACATGGGTCAACTGCAGGAGAAATTTACGAGCTGCTTTATTGCACTCGGACACACACACACACATGCGCACGCTCGCGGAAATGGTTATGCACCCACACTCACGCAGGACATTCAGATCCCTTTTTTCACACCCACAATCGCAGATTTTACTTTTACTTTCATTTGGCCATTCCCTACGAACCCTGTTCATTTCTTACAGTTTACGCGAATAATTTTTAATATCCATCGAAAGAAACTTCATTTTTTTTGGTCTCTGACGATCAATTTGTTGAGAGATAAATAGCTTATATTTTTTTTAAGAATTTAATTAAAATTTTAAAATAAAGTTGCAGGCTTATAATGCGAATATTTTCAATCAGAGATCTGGGGAGAAAAATGACTAGCTGATTGATTTGCCCTTGAGTGGCGCTTAAAAGTATGCAACAATATATTTTAAGACAACATCCTTTAGTTTGAAATTTTAAAACTTTTTTAATGCAATGGGTTAGCATTTCACTAGATTCAATAAACTTTTTAAAAACTTTGAATATGTTTCTAACATATTGAGACCCTGCCTTTTGTAGCTTAAAGCCCCGTAAGGATACAACTTTCCCTTTCTCTATCATCCATCATTAGACTAATGTCACATAGCATTAGACCCTATGAGTTATGCAAATGTAGTTGCTATCTTTCGGCTAACGCTTCCAAGGTCGATTCTGCAAAAAAAAAAAAGAGCTCACAAATTAGTGTTCATCATCAATCAAATGCTGGGTTAGCAGCTCCAGCCGAGGTCAATGGGGCGAAATGCTGACGCTAATTGCAATTTGTGGTTTCAGTCAGCTGCTAGAAGAGCACCAGCAACGGCAGTAGTAGCAACATGCCGGATATATGCACAATGTACCAACATTCGCCTTCGAACATCATTTGCATTCAAGCAACCTGATGATGGATTTTGGCCTGCAGTGCCGCGAAGCCGAAAAACCGCACCGACATCATCGTCATCTTCTCCCTACTTCCAGGCAATTCGATTGAAGGAAGTACGAGGCTAGCTCCCAACCCCTCGACAAACCAGGTAAACTCAATCAGCAGAACGGAGCCCAGGTAGCTGACATCAGGTGCGCATATTCAAATCAAGTGTTTAGTGTGGGCCTCGGGTTCACATTGCGGCCTCCTGCTTAAGGATTCCGCCTGCCTCATGAGTTTTCTTTGATCTGCAGACTTTAAATGTATGGTATTTCGAGGAACTCATATTAAATATTCAAAAACTTCTTTCATCCGAAAATCATTATGAATCGAGCAGGTAGTAGGAAGTTTCTTGATATTTAAATATGAAAGAATTTGAATATATTTGTTATTATTTACTGTAGTTTTAACAGAGGATGTATGCAACATTCGAGAAAATTACATTCTAAATTCTTAACATCGGCGATTTTTCCCAAGTGACTGTCAATTTTTCTAAGCTAATTTTAGTCTCTGTTTTAATTAATAAATTTGAAATCTTTCATATGGTTTTTAGTTGTATTTTCCCATAAGAATTAAACCACCTTGCGTTTCTTGAAGTATTTGTATTTTCCCTTCTAATCCGATAAATAACGTTTAACGTATAAATTGGAAAATAAGCAAGTGCCTAGTCAGAAAGTGGCCAAGTCATGGCAGATGCCAAGGGAAGTGATGACTATGGGATCCTCTTTCACTGACTTTGCACCACTTGCCCAGGCAAGACTCCTTCGCCTTTATTCAAGCAGTATTTGTGGCATTTAAGGCATGCGGCACACGCTGCGTATGAGCTATTTTCTTAAGCCAGCTCCAGTGGCTTCCTTTAACCTTTTTGGCTTTCGCTTTGTTCGTTATGTCTGAGTGAATGTGTGCCATGTGAGGCATGTATAGCATGCAATGTCTCCCTTTTGGCCCGTTCCTGTCTTATTGAAAGCATCTGTGAGTTATTTTTATAGAGCTACTTTATGCCCCCTCCTGCCACTGTGGCTGAAAATTTGAGCCACAAAAATGTGCCATCAAGTTGGTTTTATTTATAAGTAAGACTAGACTATTTAAAGAAAAGTATCTTAGTCACAGCTAGTTCTGGGGTATATATAGAATCGATTTGTTGTCAAAATAAACTTCGTATCAGTTTCGATTACATAAATAGAAACAGCTAATAAAATATGGATCAATGGGGTCCATAAAAGCAAAAAAGATAACAAAGAAAGATTCAACTACGCACCCTTTTTGCTACATTTTTTATTTATGCACTAGTTACTTTCGTTTAACATCCACTACACTTTTTTAAAATGTCTCTTCTAATTGCATAAAAAGAGAAGAGCGCTAACCACTTCATTTTCCTTTTGTACTCAAGGACCTCTAATTTATTTCAGAGCCATAATTTATAGCTTGTTACGAGTAGTAATCAAATTGCTTTTGAGAGCTTCAATCTAGACAAATTACCCGGCCACTCATCTATTTTAGTTTTTTTTTTTTTTTTTAATTAAAACCAAGAGCAAAGGCTGCAGCCTTGGGAAATGTGGGAGTGGATCGAAAAGAGGATAGGGATCGGGATGTCCCAAAACATTTGCCAGACGCATCGGACATAAATCAAGTGAACGAGAACGGGTCCGACATGGACATGGCAGGACAACAAATCCAACAAAGCTGCTGCTGTTCCAGCCTCGATAGTCCTTTTCCCATGGCCATACAGAAATTTGTGAATTGCAGTTACCCAGAATGGAGAAAAAGGGTATTATTCGTTGAGGGTGGCATGGCATGGGGCATCCACCATGGGGTATGAGGCGTATTCCCAACCAAAAGCAAAGGCAAAGTTTTTGGCGTAGAACTAACGAGCATCAGTGTAAACTGTCGTCGCTGCTGTCGTTGCTGTTGCCGTTGCAGTTGCAGTTGCCCTTGTTGTTGTTTCACCAGATTCTCATTAAACTTCAAAAATTGTATACAAAGTTTGTAGAAAGCAAAGGCATTAGCTGGCGGGTTCAAAGCCATGTCAAAATTGTGCATAGCTAAACAGTTAATAACAGTTTTGATGGCATTTGGTAGCTTGATTAATTTATTTCATTTATATTGCTATAGTATTTAAAACAGAAATGAAATAATAATGTTAAAAGTTGTTAGTTAATTAGTCTAAAAATATATTTCAGCAAAGTTTTAAGCAATATTTGTACAGATTTATCAAAGAATAAATTAATTTTACTCAATTATACCTTTTTATAAAGTAGACTTAATATTTTTCACAGTGCAAACTCCATTTGTCTAATGCTTGTGATAGTTTTGGCTCATTTAGAAATAAACGATATCTCTTTTGTGTTAGCCTCACGAGTCCTTCTAAACATTCAACTGACGTCAACTTGTTCCTTTTAGCCAAAGCATTCCCACTGGCCCAATGCCCTACAATGCACCACATTCGTAAAGTTAATTCTGGGAAAAATCGCTTCAACTTTTGCTTTACGCACACTGGCTTTGTCTTTTCGCAAAATATTCACCAGAGACGCCAGCCGAAAAGTATGCAACTCTACACAGACAATGCAACTAGAAATCGCAGCTGAAGGCGAAATCGGAGATGGGTCCTTCTACTCGTCCTGGGGCGTGTTGTGAGCAAACTTTTGCAACATTTATCTTCGTTATTATGACGCTCAAATGGGCTATCAGCGCAAGAGTCGACCGGCTGCTAAATATTTGGCCAAGCAAAGGAAATGCATAAAGGCTAAAACCAAAGGAAGTATAAGAAGAATGTCCTTAATGCCGCGATTCCACTACTGTTCTTCATCGTTTCTCCCAAAGCACAGTGTCTAAAAATGTAACAAGTTGTGAAGCGTGCTGTGCTGGTTAGTTGCGATTTTCTGGTGATGCGAAACTATTGCATTGGCATGGAAAAGATGAGTGATTTGTCAAAAAAGAAATCTCAAATAAAGAGTTTAAAGTATAGATACTGAACTTAAATTTTGTAAAAGACTAATTTTCAATACCAAAAAAGAGGATGTTAAATTGAATTCTCCATTCAATATTCAACGCATCTCTGGAAGGACGAGACTCCTTTGGCATCGCTGCATTTGGCAATATCGGGCCAGACAATGCGCAATATCCCAGCTGCGAAAGAACTAGTGGCAGTGCAACTCGGCAGTTGTAAACGGCAAGGCAATGGTAACTTTTTCCTGCACTTAATTAGTTTTGGGCATAAGTGGAGCAGAAAAAGTTGTTTGCCAAGATGACAGCGGGAGGCCGTGTCCTCCAGTGGTTTTGTCAACTGTCCCCGAGTCCTTCCTATTTTCTCCTCCTCCTCC